GCTAATTTATTCAAAATTGATGCTTGCAACAATTCTTTACCAAGATATACGTTTATGGTAAAATTTTGGAAAATGGGCCTGGCACCGCCCACTTATGGTCACATATATGTATATCGGTAACCGTTCTACCAAATTGTACCAAACTCGGTATTTTTATTGTGCTTGCCAAATAAAAGCAAAACGTTGAAAATTATTGAAATCGGACTAAAAATACGGCCGCTTTTCATATAACGGTAAATTTCAGAAATGCTTGAAACTTCAATAATTCGAAATTTAAGGACGCTAATTTACTCAAAATTGATACACCCCGGCTTACCATCTAGCGGTAGCTTTAGGAAAGGGGAAAAACATATATTTAATACTTGCGCCGGGTACTTAATGTTCGGCTCCGCCCGAACTTAGACTTTCTTACTTGTTTTTATAATATCTTTTTGTTTTTTATGGCTCTATAAAAATTATATTCAAGAATTTCATTGAGCATGCGGCCATTTCATAAAAAAACTTGTAGAAAACCAAACGAGCAACAACCATATGATCAAGTCTAAATAGCAAAAAAATCGTTGCCCTTGATTGTAGTTGGGTTGCGCAAACGAAAAAGTGGAAAAACAACAACAGTTTACATGGCGAACTTAGCTCAATGGGCTGGCTTTGAACGCCGGAGTTGCTGGTTCAAGTCCCAATGAACTCGATGAAGAAGTCCGATGAGTAGAAGTGGTGTTCTTCGAAATAGCAGCATGTGTCATTAGTAACGGCCTCAAGCTCAATAAAATTGTTGAATATAATTTTACTATACCATTTTATTTGGATGATTTTTTTAGATTTAGATTTAAATTGCTTATTGTTAAATAACATGCTAATTATAAAATTTTAAATATATATAGAAAAAACATACGACAATGACCTACTACTATACCATTTTATTTTTTTTTATCTATTTTCTCTATTTTTTATTTTATTTTGTTTTATTTTATTTTACTTTGTTTTATTTTACTTTTTTATTTAGTTTACGCTTATATTTAGTTTTTTTTTATTTTATTGATTTTTTATTATATTTTTAATAATTAGTATTTTTTAAATTATTTTCATAGTTTTTTATTTTGCAGCTATTTTTTAAACTTAAATTTTTTAATTTCATTTAACTTTATATTTATATATTTTTTATTTCCTTTTTGTTTTTATGTTTTTCTAGTTTTTTTCTCAATTTTAATTTATATTTTATTGAATTTTTCTACCCTTTTTTATATTATTTCCTTACTTTCATTACAACTCACCTATTATATGGCAACACAAAGCCAATACCAGCTGCCAGCAATGCCAAGTACACTGCATGTTTGTGATCTTTGGGTGTGCGTACATCCGCCTCTGGACTGTCCATGGGCTCATGGCGGATGCCGGCGCCACGACCTTCGAGTGGTTCATAGGTTGTGGCTTGTGCGGATTCCATTTCCGCTATTTAACAGTTATATATGTGTGTATGTATATGCACTTTCAAGGTGTTCAAGTCGTCGTCGTCTATTTGATAATGAAGAGTAACAAGTAGTTGTTGTTTTTGCTGTAGTTTTGTTTGTGGTTTTGTTATGTACCTTGGCACTAAGCACAAAAGCAAATATTTAAGTATAGTCTACTTAGCGGCGCACGAAGGCAGATTTTTTCATGCAATGTGCCGTGCTGGCTTTCAAAAGAGGCAAAGGGTTATTCTAGTGTTTATCTGATGGAATATATTTGATGATTTTCTTTTTTTTTAAGTCTTTCAACTTTTAACCGTTTAGTGCAGAAATCTAATTTTTCTTTTTTTTCGAATTGAAAGTTATTTGTTGTTATATGTTTTAGTTTTTGTCTTAGTACCGTTTTTTGTTTGCTTTTTTACTGAAACTATCCGCTATTACCGTTTAAATAGTCATCAGCACCTTTCGTGTTTTTAATCGATAAAGGAGCAGCAATGTCAACTACTCTTTTGCTGCCCAACCGCTGCTCAAGTAAGACTGCTTAAATTTTCGCCCATTTATTGGTTTGCTATGAAATTTTTAAAAAAGTAATTTACGTTCTGCATTTTCCACTCCCTTTTTTCAAGTATGTAGTACCTTAATATATCGTTCGACAATTTCGATTTTTCACTTTGCGAGTTTTTCACAACTTTTACATGTCTGGCTGCTGCCCAATTTTACAGCCACAGATTTCAGATTTGCCACTCAGATTTACCACTCTCCCACTAATTATTACACGTTTAAATTTAGTTTTTAAGTTTGAATATATTTTTTAGCTCTTCAATATAATTTTTCAAAGACTTTTCCTATGCAAAATTATTTTATGTGCATCGTTTGCAGTGCGCTGCAAAAATTTTTATCTGCTCTTTTCACCATTCTTGGGCGTCTAATGCGCAAGTCTTTTTCAATTATCGATTTTAGTTGTGTGCTGTCATTTCAACATTGCAGTTGTCAAATGTTGTTGAAACACCTGTCACTCGGTCACACTGTTGATTTTGGTCGTCGCTTTTGTGGTAATTTTTTGTTTACACCAACGTAAAATCGGTAGGCATGTACTCGTATGTTATGTTTGTTGTTGTTCTTCTACACAGCATTCCTTATCAGTAGATTTGTTTACCACAACGTGCTGGGCGGTATTTCGGCTTGATGTTGTTGGGGATTCGATTGGAGTTGTGCATTTTATTATTGCGAATGTTAAAGTGAATCGTCTGAAGAGCTCGTGAATAGTGTTATTATAAGTGCCTTCCTCGTATTGAAATTCAATTTGTGTTATTTAAAAATTTCTTTCGTATTCGCATTCGCATAATATTCGTATTCGCGTTCGAGTCGTATTCATATTAATTTTCATATAAGCTAACTTACATAAACCAGTCCTCCAATAAAACATGAGCAGAAGTGTGCATAGCATTAAATAATAGACTAGACAAAAACTTTATAAAAAAAAATCGATAAAGCAATGTTATGTCGCATTTACAAGAATTCAATTCTTTAAAGTCATTGATTATACGTATTTATACATACATACAGTGTTGGACATATCTATCATTTCGGACCAAATTCAAACTGATGTTTTTTGCCACTTATGCTTGTTTATTAATTTTTAAGATTTTTCAACTGAAACACAACTCATTCATAAAAATTACCGTTGATTTTTTGGAGCTTTTTTTCCTAACGTGTTGCGGGAGCACTTAAAAGGGGAAAATCATAAGTAAAATGGTAAATGGGGTACGAAAAATTCAGGTACTTAGGCGGGTTGGGTAAATAAGCGGCGAAGTACTTAAAAGACGGTTTTTCTTCAGATTACATTAAAATATTCACGGTTCCCAAAAATGTAGGTTACTTAAACGGGTTAGGTACTTAAGCGGGTTTCACTGTATTTATAGTCGGATTGATATTCGAATTCGTATCGAATATGTATTCGTTGTCATATTCGCAGGCGTATTCGTATTCAAATTCGTTTTCCTAATTGTTTTTGTATTCGCATTCGCATTCGAATTCGGTTTCATATTCGCATTCGTATGGTATTCCTATTTGTATTCATATTCGTAGTTGTAGAAATTCGTATTGGTATTCGTATTCAAACTGTTTTCGGTGATGGTGGTCATGTCGAACAAGGAAAGGGAAATTTTTCGTCTACTATCGTTGACCGCCAGCGTGACCAATTGAATTTAACTTATTTTAGTATGTCCTCTGGTATATTTCCAAAAACATTTCTTCCACCTAGGTGTAGAATTTCATAACATATTCTGTAAAGAAAGGTGATGGTCCTAATCAAAAGATTGCCACTAGACCTGTGACCTAAAGCCTTAGACTCGGTCAGATCAGATCGCATCATCCACGATCTAGAGAGAGACAAATATTTCAAACCGTGCAGAGACAAACAACTCGGCATCGAGGACAGAGCGAGAAACCTACAGTTTCCACTCCAAAGTCTTAGTCCCATTAGTTCCCATTTAGTTTTTGACACGCGCTACAACGATTAGCAAGAAGCTCGCGGCTTTACTTTTGTAAAGGGCAAAGATACTTTACGCACGAGATATTTACAAAGCTATCAACCCAAAAAGCGGATCAACCCATTTCCACACTTCCACGCACTTCCTATCGCCACAGAAGAAAACGTGTAACCCATGCAGACGACATAGAATCATCATCGCTCAACTGCGACTTGGTAGAGCTCGTGTAGTATACTAAATTCGGCAAGATCCAGGCACCTGTACCCGCAGATTACTCATGCATACTTTGCAGGCGGAAGCGGATCATATACCATCTTGTGACTCCTCGTAAACCTCACGCATCACACCATAACTGCTCTTTGTACATCCGATTGAGTCTGAACACCTTCGGTGAGAGTAACCTGTTGTGAATAGCTCATTAGACTTCTCATTTTTTGGCGTGCCAAATGCTTACCTTAAGGAGATTTGGGTACAATTTAGTAGAGGAGATAAAAGGTTTGTGTGATGATTAATTAGTACTGAGAGTCTCCTTCTAACAAATATGAGTTGCTTAGAAGCTAGAGCTCTACAGATACCCGAAGTTCTCCTTCACTCCTATTATTTTTATGTATTTTGGAAAGAATTCAGTATTATATTAGTGGTTGTTAGAACCATTTTTTTATTTATTAACTACGACATTATTTATAAATATTTATTTTTTCATTTGTGCGAACAGATTTTGGAGGAGATAATATTATTTAAAACACAAACATAAAAATAGGAAGAAAACCCTTAAACAATAAATAAATAAATACATAAAATTATAAAAATAATAATAGATTGGCGCTGACACATATGTTAGTGTTTGGCCATACATAAAATTAGACTTGGCAATATCAAAAACAAAAAAAAGCGAACTTCAATTTTAAACACGAAATAAAGATCTTAACAAATTATGACTAAAAAATATAATAAAACATTAAACTCAAAGAGGCATCTCGCCTTAGTTAGAACGCACCTGTATGCCGCTACGCTCAAAAGTATTCTCCAGCAGCGGAACTTGGGTATAAGTCTGTTGAAGAGCGTACTGCTCACTCTCTGTCTGTTGGCGATTGCTGCAACGCATGCAACTGCCGAGCAAATAAAACCAACGGCGAGAAATAGATTTGCGACGGCCACCAGCACTCCTTTTTGCGGCCAACTTGCGAGGGCCTTGCACCTCTGGCGTGTCAGAGATATCAACAGCAGTGCTATTGGGACAACGCTCAATATATAAGCCCATGGGCGAGGGTGTGCGTGGATCGTGATTGTATTTTAGTGGCCGAATTTTCGGTGCAATAGTTCCACGCCCATCTCGATCGGTGCTGAAACGCTTACGGCGTGCCGGTTTCGGCGACGATGACAAGTCAATCACTTCTACCTCTATGGCTGAATCTGAGCTGCTCGGTTGACTGGTGCGCGAGTTGTGTTGGGACGTGCCGCTGCCACTACCGCTTGCTTCGCTCGGTTCAGCCTGCTGCTGTCGGACCTTAAGGGAATCGCTGCGCCTGCGCAATGCGACTGAAAATAAGGTGAAAATAATTCTTTGTAGAGCTCAAGAAAAGTAAGTAAGTAAAAAAACCACCAACCACTCTCCTTCGCCGTTCGCCTTTCGGCACTCTCCTCCGTGCAGCTGCTGAAATAAAGCGACATTGGTTGTATAGCCGCCACGTTCTTAGCATTTCGACCGCACACCTCCATTGTGCCATCTCCGCTGCATAAATTGTTATTCGCATCCGGCGTGTTGGGTGTCACAAAAACATGCAGCTCGTCATCGCCGTCTCCGTGGTCGTGCGGTAGCCCAAGGTTTAGCGGTGAAGGTGATGGTGGTGGAGCTGGTGGTGGCGATCGGCTTCGCTCGTAATCTGTCTGCGTGGCCTTCGTACTCTTTGCCGCGCAGTAGAGCAAACTCTGCAACGGCTGTCGTCCCAACTGCCCATAGCCACCCAACGAACCTGAGAGTGAAGTGCCATGCAATGTGTAACGACCACACTGAGTTTTCTTGAGCTGATCTTCGGCTGTGCTCAGGCGCACGCGCAAGAAGTCCACATTTTGCCTGAGGCGAGTAATTTCGCTCTGCTTTTCGTCCAGTTTCGATTGCTGGTAGTCATTGTAAGATTTTAAGCGATCGCGCTCATCCAACAACAGCGCGTATGTGCTCTTATCAATGTAGACGTCTTCTTCGTCAGCCGCGCTACTGCCACTGCCACTTTGTGTGGAAATGGTACATGTAGTTATTGCTGTAACGNCGGTGGAGCTGGTGGTGGCGATCGGCTTCGCTCGTAATCTGTCTGCGTCGCCTTCGTACTCTTTGCCGCGCAGTAGAGCAAACTCTGCAACGGCTGTCGTCCCAACTGCCCATAGCCACCCAACGAACCTGAGAGTGAAGTGCCATGCAATGTGTAACGACCACACTGAGTTTTCTTGAGCTGATCTTCGGCTGTGCTCAGGCGCACGCGCAAGAAGTCCACATTTTGCCTGAGGCGAGTAATTTCGCTCTGCTTTTCGTCCAGTTTCGATTGCTGGTAGTCATTGTAAGATTTTAAGCGATCGCGCTCATCCAACAGCAGCGCGTATGTGCTCTTATCAATGTAGACGTCTTCTTCGTCAGCCGCGCCACTGCCACTGCCACTTTGTGTGGAAATGGTACATGTAGTTATTGCTGTATTTTCAATCTCATTGAATTTTTAGGAACATAATTTAATTTTTCTTTCACTTAACTTTTTTTATATTTAATTTTCCTTAATTTTTAGATTTTGTATTAAAAATAAAAATATTTTTTTAAATTTAATTTATGTATTTATGTGTTTTGTAGGAACTTGTTTTCTTTTTCAATTCATTTATTTTATTTAATTTTCTCTTATCAGATTTTATTGTTTTGAAAAGAATTTTGTATTAAAAACAATTTTGTATTAAAGAAGAGTTCATAAAATTTTAGTAACTCTCGGACATATTGTATGGAAGTGGTGACTTTTCGTGGAGAAAGCCATTATTTCGTTATTTGGCATTGCAGAAAAAACACAACATCCATAGTGTTACCATTCTTTTTTTGTTTTTTTCATTGGCACACCCTAATGTAGTCATATATAAAAATACATATTTACCTACATAAATATGTACGCGCCGTGGTTATTGTCCCCAGGTGCCGTTACCTTTCATATTATTTACTAATTTTTTTACATCGCTGCAGTAGCCTAAAGCCTACAGAGCTAAAGTTAGTCAGGCGCGCGATAGCACTTCACAAATTACTGTTTTCTTCTACTCTTGTTTATTGTTTTTGTTAATCACGTTTAATTTAGTTATGCTTATATAAAAAGTTATATCTCTTCAATAAAAATTAAATTACTTAATTTTAGTTATTTTGTTGTACGCGCTTGCAAAGAAATAAAATAATAATCGTAAAGAGTTGTAAATAATGTAACCAGTTTTGGTCGCGTTTTAATTTTTTTTTAATGTATAAAAGTAAAGTTTATGCAGCCGTACCGCCCGCACGTGTAACTTAATTAAAAAAATGAGTATACTGGATGAAAGTTTCCCCCACGATGAACTTTCCGAAGTGGACTTATTGCCAACGCCACCACATCATCGAATTCAATTTCCACACCGCTTGCGAGAACGTCAACAACAAGGGCACAGTGGTGACAGCATCAAAAGCCCACTAACGCTTGTACACAATCTCAGCGTCTCCAACTCATCGGCCGATCAGACTATATCCTCAGCCGAATCAGCCTCAGAGCAGCGCACTCAGCCCGCTGGTTTGGCAAGCGACGAACGCATGGTTAAGAGCGATCAAACTGGGCTTTCCACTGGTGGTGGCGTAGGCGTTGCGCACCAGAGCCATCTGCCAGAGCATGACCGTAAGTCTTACTCTTACCATGACATTCACTCGCAGTATACGAAGCGTCGCTTCAAGCACGTCGAGAGCAAAGTCGGACAATATATAGCAAATATACGTAGCGAAGATGAACGACGCCGCAAGCTAGCGAAATTTCAAAGACACAGTTCGATGCCCGAGGCGCTGGTACACGAACCGCTGCCGCGGAAGACGTCAATGCAGTTGCAGCGCGGTGTGACTTTAACAGCCGCAAGGTTGAATGAAGCGCTTGTGGGCGTAATCGATGCAGTCGACGAAGAGGAGCAGGAGGTGGAGGAAGAAGTGGAGGCGGAGCCCGATGCCAGCGCAGACTTGTCTGCCAGCAACGT